ACAAGTTTATTATAAATATTTTGCCGATGGTTGTTAAGGAGGCAGTCTTTAGACCAGAACGAAGAAATTAATGAAATTCAGTTTTCGATGAAACTTTTCATTCAGAATCAGCTTTACTAGGTGAATCACGTACAGTATGTTGCAAACTAAAATAAATTCAATCAGTTTTGGTAAAAATAATGAAAAATTAAAGGTACGACATGAAGACAAGTAATATATTAAATTGTATTAGTAATTCAGCAATATTTAATATCATTTTAGTTCCTTTACACTTTTTTTGCAAAAACCCTTTACATTTTCGCAATATTTTCAAAAAATCATGTTAGAAGCAGTAAAAATTCCAGATATGACTATAAACTAAGTATAAACTAATAAGTTAATAGAGAAATCATATAATAAGTTTCATGTATGCGAGTACTTCAGAGTATTTCCACTCGGAGTAGATCTATACACATGAATATGTGATAAAATTTAATATCACTGACAGATTGATTTCATTTGCTCAACAACAATTCTTCAACTAGTAAATTCCTCAATAAAGGGGGTTTTGGGGCAGAGAACTTCTCCATTTCCCAATTCTATGGACAGACAGATGATCGGCTCATTCCCCGTTAGATTCAACATGGCGACTGCTCCCCCTCCGTCATGATGTGACCCAATTACTCCAAAACGATTTTCATCAACTAATGTGGAATCAATCGATTGGGGTGGAGTAGAGATCATCTATTATTCACCTACAAACGATTCCGCATCAATTGATTAGGCACTTGACTGCCTATCATTGAAATTACAAGAAGTTGGGGACGAACTTCCAGTTGAATATTTAATTATGTAAAAAAAATCATTACAAATCAATTATTATCGATCAAACGCTAATTTTCACCTATCACTGACCTACAAACCACCTGCAAACGATTAACTCGGTCCAAATCATTCATTTATTTAATTACAAAAAGTTGGGGGCTAAATTCTGGTATAAATTTTAATTATTTAAAAAAAATCATTAAAAATCGATTATTATCGATCAAACGTTAATTTTCAGCTATCATTGACCTACAAACCACCTGCAAACGATTCACTTGGTCCAAATAATTTATTTATTTAATTACCAAAAGTTGGAGGCCAAATTCCGGTAAAAATTTTAATTATTTAAAAAAAATCATTAAAAACCGATTATTATCGATCAAACGTTAATTTTCATCTATCATTGACCTGCAAACGATCCTCGATCGTTTGATCGGTCATTAAACATTCTAGGGTTAAATTTAACAAAAAAAAGGTGATAACTTCCGTAGAAATATTTCATTTTTTTGAAAAATTCATTAAAAAAAAACGATGATTGATCAAACAATAATTCTTTTCTATCATAGACCTGCAAAGGACCTTCAAACGATTGGGCATGTGCGGAATAATTAATTATAATAATAAGTTGATAACTTCTCGGAGCTACGAAACGCACATGAAGGAGAAGGCGTTATACAGCGCTACGTACGACGTCTGAAGGTACTTGTCCCCTGTTTTGGTGTCGGCGACATCAAAGCTTGGCAATACCTCCCTGTATCATACCTTATCTCTGCCTTAGTATTGAAGCGCCGCTACTAAAAGGTGGGAGCTGTGAGAAGTAGCAGCATAGGGGAAACACGTCAAAAAAACCTGCGTGGAGGCAAAAGACAAGACCATAGTCGCGCCCATTATCTGAAATCCTTATTCGCTTTTGTCTTTCTACAATTGCGTTTTTATACCCTAATAAATTTCTCCTTTAGTTTGTCCAAGTTACCTCGTTCTCAAATTTTTGTTGCTACTCAATACAGCTGTTACACTACATAAGTGAGTGAAATTTGCCCCAACCACTCATGTTACAAAAAAATTACTATGTGACTAGTGACGTGAAAACATGTCCGCTTCACGATAAAAGTTAATTTTCCTAACATATTTGTTGATATTTAATGAATGTTCGTATTCGAAACCGGAAGGAAACACCTGTAATATTTCCATCATTTGTAAAGTGTTGAAACGTGGTTAATGGTTATTCTGCCATTATTCGAAATAGAGTTTTACTGACAATCATTTCGGTGAATGGCATAGGGTTACCAATGACTGACACAATTTGGAGGTAAGTCTCGATATGTGTCGTAATAAATTTAATTAATTATTCACTCTCACGAGTAATATTTCCACAATTATAGTGCGATAAATGACAATCTATGTTTTGTGAAATTATCACTTGCATCAACTCAATCAACTGTCAATGTTCCTGAAAATTAATATAGATAACACAGTTTCTTTGCCAGTAGACAGTGATCCGAATATTTTCCATAAAACAGCTTTTGGCTGACTAAATTATCATAAATTGTCGTACTTGACAGTCTGGCGACTTTCCGATTTTCCAAACTCAATTTTGGAGTTTAGTCCCTGCTTTGTTATTTCTTTTAATTACATAAGCCTAGACAATGGATCAAAATATTGCAATTGGCTGTGCCTTTTGAGCCCTCTCAATATAGAAACAATTGTTGTAACTCCGATAACATTCTTTCGTTGTTTTTTGCAGAAAAAATAAAAAATATACAATTTGAAAAGAAAAAAATCGAAGGCTACTACGATGAATGTAAGTAATTCGAAACTCATTGAAAAAATTCATTCCACCGATAATGAGTTATTGATCTCTTGTTTTTTCTATTGTTGAAGAATCCATATCGAGCACGGCCAGGCAGACCGCGCGTTGATCCTCTAGCAGTAGCAAATTATGGCACGCAGAATAAGTCAGTGCAGCCTCAAATGCCAGGTGAAATACAGCCTAGAGAAATTTCAACAACAATTCAAAGTAATGTTTTGCAACCTCCTCAATACGCTGAGATTTCAAGCCAACCGAACAAGGCCGGGGACCCTTGGGACTGGGGAAATGACAATCTCGATAACGGAAATGATGCTTGGAATTGGAGTGTAGATCAGACCCATGAGACACATATGCAAGAGCCCGGTGTTTCGAAATATTTAAATTCAGGACAAACAATTCAGACACCTCTTCCGGATAACTATCACAATAATTCAAATGGGAATAACAGACCAGTTCCTCCGCGTCAACAAATATTGTCTTCAGCTGGTGGAAATCTTCCCAGAACTGGAAGTCATGTATCTACACCGAATTTTTCGCAAGACCCGTACTCACGCTATTCGAATTGTGATGAAAAACTACAACAAAGGTTACAATCTCCCTGTACTGTTCCGAGCACACAACTCTCTAGTTGTTCATCAGCACTCAATGCAAATAATGAGCAGGTCCTATGGGGACAAACTATGCATAAGCCATTTTATTCAACATCCTTTGACATGAGTAAAAATACTGGATTTCATTATGCCCAGCAGCATAAGTTGGAAAAAATGAATGAATATGAACGAGATAGTCGAATAGAAAAATATAATTTAACCTCTGAGGAAACGAGCTATAATGAAGTTCAATCTACAGCTGTCTCATCTCCAGCTATCGATTGGCAAAATTCGATTACCGAAGAAAATTCTGTAAGGAAAGTAAATAATCAGTGCGCCCAGGCATCTCAAGAGCCAGATAATTGTCGACTCAACCGTGTAAATAATTTATTAATGCAAAAATCCGAAGACTTAAAGATGATTACTTTAGACGACTCTCCATCTCTTACGTCAAGCAGTCAGAGCCTGTTACCTCCAAATGTCGCTTTCACAGTGATAACACAGCAACTCCCGCAGACAAATCGACAATGGGAGAATGCAAGAGGAGGAATAAGAAACCAATTGCATGAAAATCCACTTCAGGGCGTAAATAAAATTGCTGCTGCAGAGTGGCAACACGGTGGACATCCAATGCATTTTTCCCAACCACAAGTATCCAGAACTACTTTTACCCATGAAGCAGAGGCATCATCACTTCCAGTTTCTAAGCTCAGTGATACTCAGTTACCATTAGTTCCGCCAAGTGCAAAACCTCTTGAAGGCTCATTGATCAATAATTCGGTGAACGAACATAGAAAGGCCAATAATATCGTTGGTATAAATGATTTATCATCGAGTATGAATCAAATAACGATTAACGAGAGCTACAAACTCTCCAATCAGCAGATTGAGACTCAACCCTTACATTTCCAAAATGTTATGCCCGAAAGTCATCGACCTTCCCAGTTGTCTTATTCGGCTGCTCAGTCAGTTGAACAACAGCATAGTACTAATAATAATAGTAAATCTCAACAGGCTACTATTACATCTCCATCTTCATCACAGACCCAAGACTTATCGTTCAATGAATCTTCTCGAATACAGATGATTAGTACGTTAGAAGCCACTTCCAGGGCCAATAAACCGATACCACCAACAAATATTGTTCGGCCAGTTCAAGAACAAGATGTACTACCGCCACAACAAAGAAGTATGCAAAATCAGAATATTGATCGTGGTAATATTTCTGAACATACGAATTATGATCAATGGTATAATAATAGTTCAACCCAAGTGTCTCAACTATCTTCGGCATCTCAAAATGTTTGGAATTCCAGTGTCAGTGAACTACATCTCCCCTTACAAGGAGACTGGACACCACCTCAGGTATCTACTTCAGAACCCTCAATCGATACATGTGCGAGTATCCAACCACCTGCTGAATCCAATTTAATTGCCATTCGAGAGGAAACACGAAGCGAATTTCAAAGATCTGAGGTCGACACTGTGTCTGTGTCTCAACTTTCACATTTTCAGCATCCTTCGATAGAGCAGGAACTACTACCTTCTGAAAGTTATGAATTTGCATCGAATGATCGAAACACTTTTCTTGAGACTGGAGAATTGACCGACTCGCATCATGATCAAGAATGTGTAGCGCCCAATCAGGATGAAGATAATGATGAAGTTCCCAACGATATTCCATTTCTTAGAGAAGTTCCTGGACAATCTAGTAATTCAGAACAGTCCAGGAATGATCCAACTGGACAGGAACAATACATAATACCGACGGCAGGTGAACGTAGGGATATGCCACCTGGTCAAGAATGTCTTGAGAATGATAGATTAATTCGTGATACTGGTCGTGTTGAACCTGATCCCCTAGAACGAAGGAATGATCCATCTGGTAGAGAGAAGTCACTCCCACCTGTGCAGCCTAGGAACCATCCGTCTGGTCAGGAAAGAATAACTCCTATTCAACCGATTCCACAAATTTATTTGGAACCGAATAAGGTCCGCCAAGTTCCAGGTACTGGAACGAATAACATTGACGCTCACTTAGATTTGGTTAATATGGATAATGGAATCAGACGAATTCCTGGAGGAATATCTCCAACAGATGCCACTGTCATTGAATCTCTCAAGTCTGATGGTAGAAATGATAGAGTTGTTACTGGTTCTCAGGAATATTCATCGATTTCCGCGGTTCTGAACATTCAGGAGACTAGAGAAGAAGCTATTGGCGCCTCAACCAAGGAGAAAACGACAATTTCTCCAGCATCCCCCAAACGTCGCGACTCTTATGAGGATGGTGATGATGAAGAGTCGGGCAACTCTCGAGATGAAAGCAGAGAGAGACGAGAACGCAGAGATTTACGCGATTCTAGTCCTTTAGCGCTGGAGAATCGGCGTCGCTATGATAGGAATTATTATGAGCATGACAGAGACAGAGAATTTGACGAAGATTATTATTACGATCGTCGGCGTCCTGATTATGACCGACCTTATAATTCTAGAGAGGATCTAGATCGTAGGGATGCCTCGTACAGAAATGGAGATCGTGGACACAGGGTTGAGGATAATGATGATCCCGGACGGAGAGGGAGAGGCAGAAGTGAAGAAGAAAGGGATAGTAGACCTGTGGGGAAACGAGATGAACTTAGAAATCAGCGAGACAGGTCTGATGACAATAGGCGTAGAGATAGAGAGCGAGACGTAAGAGATTATTATATGAGAGATGGAAGAGACATAAGAGATCCACGAATTCGAGATTTTCCTGATTCCGATCGGAGAAGGCGAAGGTTTGATGAGTATGATCGTGATCACAGAAGGGAGTACTACGACGATCCTTATTCGCGAAGTTCAAGACCCTCAAGCCGATCTTCTTATAATGATCGTGAGAGAGATTATTATCTTAGACCGCGAGATCCATATTATGGCTACAATAATGGATATGCAGGGTATGATTATGGAGTTAATTATAATGCTAACTATTATGCATATCTCGAAAATTTGAGAAGAACAAATCCAGCGGCATACATAGAATGGTATAATAAATATTATCTTAATCATCCTCATCATCAGCAATTACAACCGAAACTCTCACAGACACTGGCCAATTATTCAGAAGATAGGGCTAGTGTGCACTCTGGACAAAGTTCATGCGATGACAGGTAAAAAATTATTTCATTGGTGTATGGTTAGACCCTTCATTATATTTTCTTCTCGAATTATATATTTGAAATTGATTCCTTAATAGTAAATTGCATACCGTGGGGGGATGGGTTATGAAACAGGTATGATTCTGGGGATGAGTTGATGGACAGCGCGCAAAATCTTAATGTATTGAATAAAAATCGACTCCCAAATTTCCGGATTCCGTGTTTTTTTTACTATTTCTGGCCAAAATTATACGGCGGGAATTTTTTCCTATATATTCATTGGTAAAAAATTTTCATCCCGCTCTTATTAAGTAAAATCCTGACTGAACTTGGATTATTCATTGTTTTAAATATGTAAATGTTATATTGCTTTCACTAGAACTGCAAGCGGAAAACTTATGGCAGGCGATATATCGTTGATAGAGGACTCAAGAATCACATCCCGTATGACGCCAACTAAATTCTCAACATCCCATGCTCAAGGTAATTTTTCATACGTAAACATCGACAATTAATAATTATCGATCTATGACATATATATTCTGTGTGACGTAAATGATTGATCTACCCTAGCATTCCGATTTTTTTTCAAATGAGTTTCAAAGTAGATAATGCTAAAAAAATTCTGTTTGATGTGTCAATGCTTGTAAATAATTCTGAAAACGAAGACAAGTGTGGGCACTATAGGCCGTATCATAATTGAAGACTTATTAATAAAGTTTGCAGAGTATGTATTGTAATATTAACGAAAAGAAGAACAAGAATTGGAATTGTTTTCGGATGAGTGTATGGAATTAAGCTCCATGAAATGACAAGAAATATAGCGAAATTAAATCTATGAAATTATTCGCAGGACTCTTCTCCATTGGATCATTAATGTACGTTCATGCAAGTTACCCAACTGAGGGAGAAAGAGCTAAAGTTGACATAGTTAGCATAGACGGCGTACTTCTCCACGATCCTATCGTTCGTGAGCTTCGTAGCTATCCAGGACCTCTAATAAAAGGAGTAACCCACAAGAAGACAATAATTGAATATTGCGAAAGCAAAATAAATAAAGCAGCTGCCAATGACAAAGTCATCGATCGGGCTTCTTATGTACTCCTCTATCAACTAATGATTATGCTTATCCAACAGAATGGAAACGTGGTCGGAGTTGATATTGCAGCTCTTTTGCTACGCAACAAAGAGTCGTACCCTTACGACGCAAACGCAAGTACACAGAGCAAAGAACAGGAATTTACTCAACAGTCGTCAACTGTCTGTCCGAATTCTAGTACTTCTGGAAATGAATCACCAGACGAAACTCATCTTTTCTCGAAACAAATTGAATCACAACAACAATCAAAGCAAACAGTGGAGCAGATAACAAATGAATTCCGAAAGACTTTGCTTAATGGTCTTATTCAAGAAGCTCTAGAATATGCAATGAGTGAAGGATTATGGGGTCACGCGTTGTTCCTAGCTAGCAAATTAGAGAAACGTACTCATGCCACAGTAATGACACGATTTGCAAACAGTTTATCACCTCAAGATCCCCTTCAAACACTTTATCAGCTGCATTCTGGTCGAGTACCCGCCAGTGTCACGTGCATTGCTGACTGTAAATGGGATGACTGGCGGCCCCATCTTGCCATGATAATATCAAACACCTCAGGAAATCCAGAAATTAATCACAGGTCAATTAGCACTATGGGAGACACTCTGGCTGCACGCGGAGACCTTTATGCTGCCCATTTTTGTTACATTCTTGCTGAAATAGATTTTGGAAATTATGGAAAATTAGGAACAAAAATAGTATTGATTGGGGCCAATCATAACAAGCATTATGCGGATTTTGTGACACTCGAAGCAGTTATGTTGACTGAAATTTATGAATATGCAAGAAGTCTCAGTGAGCCTTCATTTATGATAATGGCTCTTCAGACCTTTAAATTCGAGAATGCTCTGAACATGATTGATTATGGATTGGTAGAAAAGGGTCTACTTTATCTCGAGCAAATAGCCATAAACATTGTGAATACTCCTTCTAAATTTAAACCCACCTTTATCGCTGATATCTATAAATTGAGTGAACGATTGAAATTCCATGATCCGGTTTTTAAGGATTCAACCGAGAATGGAGTATCCCTAACTTGGCTCGATAATTTATCAGAACTGGTTATTAAATATGAAACGGGAGAACTTATGAAAGATGGTCCTCACGAAACGCAACTGAATCAAGAACAAATTGAAATGCAACAGAACACACAGCAGAATCAATGGGTTTATTCTTCAAATCCTCCAGAATACGGAAATGCTGCGATCTCAACGATGGAGATATCTTCCGTGGACAGTAATCAAGGGCAATGGCAACCGCTGCTGAACCATGATAATATTCAATATGCTGGAAGCAGTGTAGATAAAAATAATTATCAATCCAATCAACCGCAATTAGTTCCTCAACAACCTCATCAGGGTTATTGGACTCAACAACAGATATATAATCATGAAGAATTCAATGACTGGCAGCTTGAGCAGGGTGATCAGGCTCAGAATCATCAAAGTGAACAGATTGATGTGGATTCCGCCCAACCGAATAATGCATGGAATTATGAGGTGAGTTGTTAATTAATGGGAAATTTCAGTAATCACGAGAACAAAGTTTTTCATGTTGTAATCCCCAACCGGTAATTTCCTAAAATATTTCGTGTTTTTTTTACGCCAATTTACCAAGAGACATTGTTGTAGCACAGCTGTCACTCTATTTAAAATATTATTTTATATTACTCATTGTAAAATCATATTTTTTTTGCGTTGGCATAAGTTTGCAAATCAAGAACAGGGCCTCCAAACGCATTTGTGAAAGTCGTCAATTTAAAACAAGCTGCTCAACATCTTATTTGTGCACACCAGCGCTGTTTAATACTGCAGTGTCCAACAAAAGTCTCTTGGGGATTTCTCAAAATACCACTTTTCTGAGTAAATATGCTCACATAAATTGATTTTCTTGATTATTTATTCATGCTCTCCTACGACGTCAGTCTGAGAAGGAGGAAAAGCCCACAGCACCCGGTGTAAGTAGTCACATTCTTTCGTCGGATTATAATTGCTATGGTGAATGGAAACTCTCAAGTCCATATTGTGTTAGTATCTTACGACGTCGTAAAACATATTGCACAAATAAATCAAGTCCCAATGACTTGTCAGAGCCACTCGAGAATATACAAATGGATCCTCCGTATTTATATCCACTTCATGCTGGCGCTAGTTTAATGACTGGTATGCCAAAGCATTATAAAAAAACTATCAAGTATCCAAAAATTATAGCCTCGTACCCGAAAGTCTTGGATACAAAAGATTTACCAGTGAGTAAATATAAGAGAGTTCATCCAAAGTACACAAAACCACCACCAGCTCATCCTCCAAAGTTTTTGAAATGTAAGCTGAAGGTCAAAGCGCCTGATAATAGTGATAAAGATACTGATCGTGTGAGTTCAACTGGCGTTAATGGAGATGAAGATGGCGAAAACTTAGAAGATAATGAACGGGAAAATTTTATGAATAAATGTCAAATCAAAATGAGAAGGAGTTGGAACCCAACCGATTTAGATATCCAGTTCAATCGATCAACCTTTGACTCATTGATGAAATCTGAAGATTCTAACTATAGATCAAATTATCTTCCAATTAAAATTTATAGTAAAGAGGAAATCCACGACAATCATTCCAAGTGTCAAGACAGAAGTTCGATTGGCAGGGTTGCTGATATGAGAAGAAGAGACATTATTTGTGATACGGTGGACGCGTGGTCTCATAATGTCCAGTCATTGGACTCACGAAACTTGTCCTACAGGCCCATCATTTTTGGAGGCACCTTCGATATCGACGCTCCTTGTCAAAGTGAAAAAAATGATTTATATGAAGGTAGAGGTTGTTCTACTCGTTCGAAGCGAATCTCAAAAACTTTTAATATCGACTGTCCGCTTTAGAATAAATAAAAATCCATCTATTCGTATTTAGAGATTGAGTAAATTGGAATTATTACAGAATGTTTATTTGTATGATATTGGACTGTATTTTCGCAATTGAAAAGAAGTAAAGATAATAATATCGGAAGCAGTGAATCGCAATAAGTTATATTCATCAAACACTTGATTGATGCTTTGTTTAAACAACCATTGATTTTAGGAGGAAAGGGATCGCAGACACTTTATTGTGGTTTAAATTCTTCTTACAAAAATGTATTAAAAAGCTTCTCTCACATCCTCTCATCGTTGTGATAATTCAATGTTAAACGAGATGTAAAATATAAATATTATTTTCCAAAAAGTGGCAATGTAATTGAATATTGTACTAATATTGAGAGAAGATATTAGAGCTAATAAAAAAAAAGATTCTTGATGAATAATCTTCTTGAATTACAAAAGGATTACAATTTATTTGAAAAATCAGTCGTATTTAGGATTTCTATCAAATAATGGCAAGGTTTGCCGTTGCTTGCTGTTATGGCATTGAGTTGTGGAATGAATTTTGAACAATATTAGCATGTTATCAAGCTGCCCTAGTGACAGACGTCCTTAACAGTATGCATAGACAGACTTTGCTGAAATTAATTAACGATGATTATCCGTGTCTTTCATTTTAGCCTCAGCCACGAATATCGATGGGGCCGTCATCGGACAAGCAATATGATCCACTTGAAGAATTAGATGCAATGGAACCATTAAATTCAAAAAAGTCGGTGGAGTGTAAAACAAGTGGAAAACCAAATGAGAAGAAAAACTCTACAGCAAGCAGTGGCTCCTGGTTTGGTGGTTTCTTTAGTAAACTGACCCCTAAACCGAGAAATCAAATGATACTACCAGATGATAGCAATCCAACAGTGAGGATTTTTATTCTACTTTTTCCACTTAACTGAATAATAAGTTTTTCAAATGTGTAGTTTGTTTTTTTTCATTAATTCATGTTTTCTTCCAATTGAAGATTATATGGGATCCCATTGCTAAAAAATGGACGAATAAAGATGAGGGCAACGAGAGTGCCTCTCTAAATCTTGCTCCTCCTCCAAAAGCTACAGACATGTCTTTTCAGCCATCACAAGTGGAATTTCTCAATCACTCCCAACAAGCGCCCAATATATTCAACAGTGAAGAAGCCACAACTCCGAATTCCTCAAAAATGATAGGTGGAAATAATATGTTTAAGCTGCAGAAAGGCAGAGGGATGCGAGCCAACTACATCGATGTAATGAATCCTAATGTAGCTAAAGGAAACATTCCGTCGATTCCTACACCAGCTACTTCGCCACTTGTACCAATGGCTGCCTCATCGCCACAAATGTTCATTCCTGCTTCTGGTAAGAACTCAATTACACTACTTAATGCACAAAAATCATACTATACCACATCAATCTTTTCAGAATAAAAATTTTTATTGTTTCAGTTAACGATCCTAAGGCCCCTTTAAATTTCTTGACACCAATGACAACTTCAATTCCTCCGCAGGAAAATGCTCCTCACGGAGTAAGTTCATAATATATTTTATCATTGCTACTTTTGATGTTTTTCCCCGTCTACATCTACCTTGGATGATTTTTCATTGATATGAATAATATTTTACTTTTATGGTCACGTTTAGTGCCTCTCCATTATTAGTTCATATCTATCTCTATGTTTTTTTTCTATTACTACATATTCTATAATAACCTAATCTAGTAGTTTGGTTTTTTGGTTTGTCTGTATATTTAAGGGTGTCCTACACCCATCTATAGTCAAAATTTACGTTTTTAAATGTTTTTTGGCAAATTATCGATGGAATTAGTTTTTAAAAATATAATGATTTTGCGGTTTTTCATTATTTAATAACTCACGAAGTTTCAAAGTGGTGCAAAAATTTTTCATCGTTTTTTTCTAAACTTAAAAAAAAAATCACAAAACCGTAGAGAAAATGCATGAACATAATGGCACTATTGCAAAACTTCGTGCCTCATCAAATAATGACAAAACGCAAAAACATTGAATTTGTTTATATAAATCCATCCATAATTTGACAAAAAAAGACATGAATTTTGACCATAGACGAGTGAAGAACATCCTTTAACGATTTTATCTGTGTTTTTTTTGCAAACAGATGGACAGCGACAAGGCAGGACCGAAATAACATTTATTGTCACCAGTAAGAAAAAATTCGTTATCAATTCTTTTTTAATCTTCATGTTTTGTATTTCCTCTGATTCATTGGAACTTATTTCTGGTAATGTTTGCTATTTGCTGTTGTCTCTCATTTATTTGGTTCTAGAGTATTAGTATTTCTCTGTGCTCATTTGTTGAGGTATGATTTAAGCCTCGAAATGAGGTTATGTTAATAAACCGTATGAAGTCCATCAAAGTACAAGAAACCTCATTATGATTCTCTGTGGTCATATTTGATAATATATTAATTATATTAATACTAATTCCAATGATGGCAATTCAGCGTCAGTTATGCATTTGGACATTTCTTCGTAGAAATCAGGTCAACAGATTCTGTTAAGTTATGATAGAAAACGGAAAATTCTAAAAGATTTTGGTAAGTTTTTCAGTAAAAAAAATTGTTAGAATGTGTCTCACTGTATGAGAATATGTTAAAACGTGCCAGAATTTTACATATCCAGTCCGAACTGGTCGGAGAACTGTGTGTTTTTGGAACCGGCATGTCAGAGAATGATACACCGTGGAGAGATCTAATTATTCCTTTTACAGTCGATTTTTATTCAATGTATTATCATTTTTAAACCTGTCCATGAATTCGTCTCAAAACCATGCCTGTCCCATAACCCATCCCTCTGTAGTAATTTTCAATCAAAAAGTCAGTAATCATTTTACAAATTTTTATTAAATTTGGTATTTCTCATATGGTTTCCGAGTTTGCTCTCCTCGTGTGCCATTTGATTACGTTTTCGGTAGAATATGTCAGAATATCATGCTTTTTCCCAGAACATGACAATGTCTGACAGATTATATGCTCTATTCTTTAAAAAATTTTTTTTAATAAAAGAGGTGATACTCCAAAAGTGAGTTGCCGAGAGTAAGATTCCAGCCAATTTCATGTGGAAGATTTTTCCTGCATAACCCCATATCTCATTGGCCATTCACCTCAACGGAATCAAATGTTGCACACGTTCAGTCGAGTATGTCATTACGAAAAAAAAATGCAAAAAATGCGTGAAGAATACATTTAATGTAGTGGTTTGCTCTGAAAATCTTTGAAACATAAATAGACATGAAAAAGAGCATCAAGCAAAGTTCTGTATGATGAAAAAAAATAGTTGAAGGAAGAAGTTCTTGGCGCGGAGTAGGACATGGTGAATCAAATTGATGCTATGAAGTTTGACAGAGACGGTACGGTGAAGAAATCCGGGCCAAGAACCTTGACTTTCCTTCAACTATTTTTTTTCATCATATACAACATTTCTTTGATGCTCTCTTTCATTTTTATTTATTTTCCAAAATATTTCAGGGCAAACCACACACAGAAAACACTATACTTAAAATACGGGATTTGAAACGTCATTTACGGAATTTTTGATCACGTATATTACGCGATTGAAAATATAGATTACGCGCTAAAACTACGTAAATTACGCCCAGAGCGAATTTAGAAAATGTGGGAAACAGCACGGAACGGTGAAAAGAATTGAAGACGACAAATTCTAAGAGAAATAAGAAGCTATCCTCCATGGCTTCCGTAAAATTTCTCAAATTTACTAAAATTTGGTCATTTTCACCATTTTTGTAATTTTTAAATATCTTTTGGAAAAATATTGGAAAAAAAGTCACTGAAAGTCATGTTCAGATGACCCAAAATATTCTGAACCATGAAGATTTGATGCTGCCCGAAAAAGTTGTTCTAATATGTGTCGTTCCGTTTGCAATCCCAATCACAGATTTTAGATAATTCAGATGTCATAAGGTACGGGAAAGAGACTATCAATTAAGCGGGTGGGTTGCATAATTTACAACCTAAACCCCTACATTATGAGATCGATCCCGTAAATTATAATTTCGAATTCATAAATTATGTGGATCCATCTTGTGTATTACAAGATTCGACCCTGTAAATTACGGGTTTGAGGTTGTAATTCACGGGATAGGTCTACGTTATTGACGGGTTTGGAACCGTAATTTACGCGATCGGCCTCATAATTGACGACATAACGATCGTAATTTACGGAGCAAAAGCCGTAATTTACGACTTTGTGGGCGTAATTTACGTGGTTATAGTGCATAAATTACGTTTTCAATGTCGTAATGTACCAGATCAGAAATCCCGTAAATTAGGTTTTAACTCTCGTATTTTAAGTATAGCGTTTTCTGTGTGCACTACACAAAACTGGTTCGTCGCGCGTTTTTACAAAAAATTATCAATGTTTTTTTAGCGGATTTCAGAAATTTCTTTTAATTAAAAAGAAAAGTATCGGCGGTACTGGCCGTAGAGTGCTCGATCCCGGGCACCGGAGGTCAAAATTGATAGTGCTCTGTCACAGCTTAACTGCTTAACTTAACTGCTGAGCGGTAGTCATGTCAAAAGGATAACTGTACCAGGTTTTTTTCCTCAAATGAGGTTTTTCCCTCCCTTTGGCGAATGCAATAGAAAGGGTTAAGGGTGGGAAGGGACTACATCGGAAAGACCCGCAAGGGTATACGAGAGGAAAACTTTTAAAAAGAAGCCTTTTTATATTTCATTCTTTGTTTTCTAAAATTGAATTTAGACTCCAATTGGATAGAGTTGAGTTTCCATTTTACATCTTTGAATGTTCGCAACACATTCAATCCCACTGTTGATAATACTCCAATTTCTAGCTTGGGTCCAGTCATCCGGAAATCGAATGACATGCGGGTGGTAAATCATTGAAACGTAAAGTCGCACAGTGGAGGAAATGAGGGCACGTTATCCCAGAGACATGGCGCAAATTCGAAATTTGAATGATACAAAATCCATAGTTGAGGAATCGCGAATTCAATGAAGATGGAAAAGTTTGTTCGTGAGAATGAAGAATATTAAAAAAATATGCTTGTTATTTTATCCCGTAATCTGAATACAAAGGGAACCATCAAAATCTCATGTGGCGAACTCTTTGAATAATATTTCAATCGATCATCTCTTTGCTTGAGTCAAAATTTATTAGATTTACCAAAATTTTGGGGATGAATTAAGCAGTCGTGATCGAACTTTCGATATAACAATAGTATATTATGCAACACGTGCGTAATATATTTTTTGACTCGTGGGAGGTTTGTAACACGAGCCGAAGGCGAGTTTTACAATCCCACGAGTCGAAAAATATATTACGCACACGTTTCATACAAAATTTTATGTCATTGCGCCCGGAATCCGCGATTTAACCGAGCGAAGCGAGGTTAGAATCGCGTGATTACGGGCACCGATGGCATAAAATCGTATTATCGAAAGATTTGGCAATTATTTTTGTATGCTCCTACTTATTACCGGCTGAATGGATTCCAAGATAATTGAATGATCAGTACAATAATATTTTCAAAAATGGTAAATAGGAGATGTTAAGCACGGATCTCGCGTAAATTTCTACTAAAGCATGTGGGTTTTGGAAATCATTCGGCTGAAATATAAATTCAAGTGGATAACTCAAGAACGAAATATTGAATGAATACCTATAAACGCCTGCTGTTTTGAATTCCTGGATGGATCGCCAGTCCAAATACTGAAAGAATTTTAATTGGTTAAATGGTATATTGTGCCTCTAGGGAGAAAATACTTTATTTCCGTGAGGCACACGATATTTTTCAAATTTGTGTATAGATCACAGGGGTGCGTTTTTCCAACTTAAAACTTTTTTTTCACTCGTTAGGGGGCGTGGAATAGCATGAGTTCTGGTGGATTTGGGAACACACAAGCGGTGGATGTTTCAAACTAAAATTCCATCATAACTATGTTAATACCTCTGGATAGAATATAAAATCGATCAATAAACACATAAACAATTAGAGGATACAGGCAATTATAGGAAATTTTAATGGTCAATTAGTTCAACATTGATAGAACAATTGAAGGGTTGTGAGGTTATAAAGTTATTAGTTTAACCGATAGAATTAACTATTTTTCTTCACTGCCAGAAGAAATAAGTCTCCCCACAATGTTTGTATTACTCACAAATTTGGTCCTAGCAATAGCAGCAGAATAAGTTGCGAGCGGAATTTAAGCAAATGAATAAAAAAAAGTTTTAATGAGAAATGGACAGTTTTTTTTTAGAAAAGACATGTTTTTTTTTATTTCAACATCCATTTATGGTGGAATTTGAGTTTGAACCAGACCTGCTGATGGTCCGCGTTCCGTAACGGGGAGAAAAAAAATATATATTTTAAGTTAGAAGGAATCTGAAAAATCCCCACTGGTGGATGGAAGGAGATACGTAGGTTTACCGAGAGTAGTTGAAAATTTTCTGGGTAAATTTCCAAGACATACAAATTGTCACTTATAGCACCATAAGAGCCTCAAAGTTATGAGGTATTTCCCGATAGGTTCGTTGCAAACATATAGAGTCATGAAGTTTTTCAGGAAAAACTTGACTTCTTTGGGGCAGTTGCTAGGCACGAGCCTAGTGTTCTGAAAATTGTGAGTTCGATTCCCCGTTGAATCGAATTTTTAAATAGGCACTTGAAAAATAGCAACCTAGCAATTTTCTGTGGTTTCCCATGTCACTCCTATGTTCTATAGGAGAGTGATTACGGTACAGTGTAGGATCCACAGCCGCATGCATAGGGCGAGATAGGGTCAATTAGCCAGAACAAAAAAAAAAGAAACTTGACTCCTTCATTTGTTTGCCGGAAACCTTGAGGGAAATGCCAGGTAGTTTCGAAGCTCGTGAGGTGTTCGAGGAATTATTTTCTGACCTAAATGTTGGCTAATAGAATTGCCCCATGAGCTGAATCTCACAGTTAAGAACTAACAATTTCACATCTGTCAGTTTTTCATGGGGTTAATTTGGCTGGATAATGATTTGTTTTTTATATAGCAACTACCAGAGGGAATTATCAGAAAATCATCAGTATAATACCATGTAGGCTGTGCACGTCACGTCGAGTGGTGCAATTCTATTGGTCGAAATCAGTCGTCAAAACTTTTTGTGTCTTTAATGATAAGGAATCCGTATAGAAAAA